GAGATATTTATAATATCCTAATAATCGAGTATTTAAAAGTATAGAAAATAAAAGATTTAATTAGAAATTAATACTATTAACTAGACTTAATAATTAATATAAAAAGATATATATAAAACTATTATATATATCGTTAAATATATATATTAAGAGATAAAACTCTAGATTTACTAAAATCTTTATCGATTAAAGATAAATATTAATAGTATATAATATTTAACTTTAAGTTATTTTTAAAGAATAAATATAGATTTAAGATAATCTTTATTATTATTAATAGATTTAGAAAATAAACTATCTCTATACTTTATAAATAAAATATATCTATTAAATTAATAGTTAAGCTATATTATAAATATATATAGAAAATATATAATATATTTAAAACGATAATATTTAATTAAAGACTTTAATTTATCTTAATATTTATAAATAAGCTATATAAATTAATAAGAATTAAGTAGAAACTATTTATAATATATTATTTTTAAATAAATAATAATATAGAGATTATAAATTAATATATTAATTTAAAATTATATCTTTTTATAAATTACTATTAAAATAATTAATTAAAATTAATATTAATTATAAACTTTATTTAAATAATATTAATCTATAAATTAATAGATATTTTATTATATAAATTAGAACTTAAATATAAATTATAGATATATTTTAATTAATATAAATATATTAATTTAGATAATTATAAAATTATTAAAAATTATATAAATTAAGAAAAGATATAGTAGTTTATAAAATAAACTTATAATATTATTAAATAAATTAAAGAGAACTTAATTTAAATATAAATAATATAAGCTAAAGTAGCTAATAAATATTATTAAAAGTTAAACTTTAAATTAGACGATTATATTTTTATTATTTAGAAGGATTAAATTTTAGATAAATTAAATATTAAATTAAATTATTAAAATATTAGACTATATAAAATTACTAATATAAAGAGATATTTTTATATAATAGATTTACTATCTAATATAATAATATTAAACGTGTTTCACGTAAATAAATTAAGAAAGATTACTATAAATTCACTTTTAGATTAATAATTAAAACTATCTCTATTAATTAAGATTAATAGAGAACTAGAGTATAAAGTCGATAAGATATTAGCTAGCTATATTATATAGAGTTAACTATAATATAAAATAAGCTAAGTAGATTATAACTTTAATAATATATAGTATTTAGTCTTAAATTTTATTAAAATTTTATATAAAATAAAGGAGTTTTATAATAAAAAATTATTAAATATTAAATCTTTAATTTAATTAAATATATAGTTTAAAGTTTATCGAGCTAATAATTATAAACTAGAACTATATCTAGATAATAATAAAATTAAGAAGAAAGATTTAGCTTAAATTTAAAAATATTAAAAGTAAATATAAATAAAATAAATATTATTATAAAAATTTATAATTAATTAATAATTTCTACTTTTAAAAAGAAGATAATATAATAATATTATAGATTATTATTTTCTATTTTTCTTTATTAATAATAATTATATTAAGATTCTATTATTATATATTTAATATTAATAAATTATATAATTATAATTTCTTCTTTTCTTAATTTAATCTCTTTATATTATAGTTAAGTTATATTAGTTATAATTTAATTTAATTCTCTATAATTATTATATTATTATAGAAACTTCTTAAGATCGACTAGCTAGATAAACTAACTAATAATATAATTAATATATAGTTTAAAAAGTATAGATAATAATATAAAATTTATAATAAGATTAAAGAAGTTATTATTAATTTATAAAATATTATATATAACTTTATATTATTATTAACGCTTTAATATATTATAAAATATAAAATTAATAATAATTAAATATAATTATTTAATTTTTTATATAATTATAGATTCTATTTAATATTAAAATAATAATAAATTACTTTATTAATTAATTCTTTAATATTATAAAGTCTAATTATATAATCTTTAAATTAAGGCGAATATAATAATATTATCTATATTAGATATAAAATAAGAGATAATATTAAAAGAGTAAACTAATATTATAGTTTTAATAATATTTAATTAATAAATTAAAATTAAGTATTTAGCTTTAAAAATCTTTTATATAAATTTCTAGAGATTTTAATAATCTTTTAATATAAAGTTATTAGGAATTAACTATTTAATATACTTTTTTAACTTAAGAAGTTTAAAGATAGTTATTTAAATTAAACTATAATTTTAATAATATTTTAGATAAAGATAAAGAGATTTTAAGAGATATTTTTATACTTTCTTCTCTATTTATATTTATAGATATAATACTTAATATTAGCTATTTTAAATTATTTAAGAAAAGATTTATAATTTTAATAACTAAGAAGTTTTATAAAATTATTAACTAGTATTTTAATCGTAAATCTTTATTTTAATTTAATATATTTAAACTAAACTTTCTATTATAGTTAATATTAATAGATATTCACGTGTTTAAGCTTTATTATTAGCTAAAATATATTAATATTAAGAAGATATAAAGTCTATTAATTATTATATAAAATCGAGATTTAATATTTTAGATTAAAAAAGATTCTATTAAATAAATATTATTAAATAATAAACTTTTTAATAATTAAAGATAAAGTTAAAAATTTAGTTTTAATATTTAATATAATAATTATATCTTATTTTATAGCTTTTTAATCGATTAGTTTATTAAATAATGAAAAAAGATATTTTTAAAAGCTCTTTTAATCTATAAAATTATCTATAAAAGAGATATTATTTATAAAGATAAAAATAAAGCTATTTAATTAGTTAAAATATTTTAAAGCTAAATATTTAATATTATATAAATATATTAAAGTTTATTTTATAGTATTAATATACTTATCTAATAAATTAATTAAATATTTAGATAATTTAGAAATTATTCTAGTAATATTTAGTCTTATAAATATAATTAACTAGTTAATAGATTTAATTAACTATTAATAATAATAAATTTAAGATTAAGATACTTAAGTTATAAAATATCTTAAAAACTTAATAAATAAAGATATTAAGAGAAACTTTTAATAATAAAGATTAAATTTTAAGTAAATACTCTTAATATAAATATTTTAATAAAGCTATAACTTTCTAACGTTAAAATCTTAAATTATATATATATTAAGGAAATATTAAAGATCTTTAAACTTTTTTATAAAATAAATAACTATTAATTATATTTTAAATTTATAAAGTTCTTCGTTATACTATTTTAAATATAATAAAACGATATTATTAATATAGAAAAAGATAATTAATTATTTATTTTAAAAGAAATAATTAACTTTAATCACTTAAAAAAGGTCTAAAGCTTTAAAAGTAATTAATAATATATATTATTATAATAAAAGAAATCTTTTAAGTCTATATAAAGCTTATTTAAGATAAAATATAATCTTAGATAAAGAGAATTTTTTTAATAAAAGATAAAATACTTCTTTATTAATAAAATTATTTATAAAAATATTAATAATATCTAAATATAAAGCTATTAAATTAAAAGCGACTATAATAGATAATATAACTTATGACGACGTGTCACGATACTAATCCCGTATTTCCTATACTAAGTGTTTAGTTTATTTGCAAGAGATCTTTACCGGGTCGGACGTAGAAAAGATCTCTAAGCGCTAATTGGTTAAACGGAAGATAGTCGGGCCGAGGCTTGGCAAGGCGGGACTGTTATATGCGGACATTCGGCCCACGATATTATTGTTCCTTAACTTAATCTCCACACTTAGTAGTTAGTAATAGAGATAGTCAAAATACGATTACTACAGCTATACTACATTGTCACACTAGATTAAGTTCACCTTCAACGGCCTCTAGAAAGGCGACATAATATTCCAACCGGAGCACGACATCAGTCTAGCTGACGAACGATTATCGGACTGATCGGGGATCTGCAAGCAGCTAAGCTCTACTAGCAACGAGATATCCGGTGCCTGAGAGTATTAGCGCCGACGACAACGACGACCCAGTACTTGAAAGAGATCAGGACTGACGAATACGAATTGCTTAGAGAAGCAAACATTATAGTAAACTAAATAAGATGGTTAAACCTTTAGCAACCTCAGCGAAGTAGACGGGCAACGAGCCAACCATGGATCCAGGAGTAGAGAGTAGCACCGGATCAAAAGGAAAAGGAAAAATGCACCGACGCAGATCGACGCTAGAAGTGGTCGACCAGCAGATCACCGACGACATCCTAGAAGCGGATCTACAGAACCTACTAAGAGGAATCCCCGGAATGATAGAAGAAGGGAAGCCTCTTAGGTGTACCGCTATTACAGACGATCGAAACGCCGATACAATCGACGGAGCGAAGGAATGGGTAGCTGAAAACCTAGACCAGTTCGTAACGGAGTACCTCCACACGAGAGCGAAGCTTATGGCTCGAGAGATACAACTCGGAAAGATGGCAAACCTTATTAACGAGATGGCGCCCGACTTACAGCTGAAGCTGCAAGTATGCCAAGCGAACGAAGAAGCCATGGAACGCCTCCAGGACGAGATCGATGACCTAAAGGGGCAGACTAAGCAGTCTAAACTAGACCGAAGGAGCGTCCGGTTCGACGACGAATCTGACGACGAAGAACCATTGGCACCACGCAGTCGTAACGACCGAGCTGGAACAGTCGACTCAACCGGAAGCTTTAGGAGCAGGGGCGACGATAAGATAAAGAAGTTCCCCGATCCACCAGAACTAACCGATGGCAAGAAGCCAACCTATAAGGAGTGGAAGAGCAAGATAAACGACAAGCTCCACGTCAACAGCGACTAGTTCCAAGACGAAAGGGCGAAGACTGCCTATATCAAGACACGGATCAGTGGCGAGGCAGCT